GAACGTAGTTTGAAGATTACGTATTGTGAATAATATATATATATATATATATATATATATATATATATATATATATATATATATATAAACCGATGTGATTATAGGAAAATCTGTTTATTTAAATGTCAAGTTTATAAAGACATATTCAGGAAATGTAAGAAATTATACACGATTTCGAAGGGTGTAAAGCTCTAGATTCCTTTGTCACATTTGTACATAATTTTTGCAATTTATAAAATGTTTAATCCATTTAAATTAGATTAAATAAAAGAAAAGCATCTGTAAGAAGCAGAGATGAGTATCCATGTTTGATATAGTAGAGCGGGTAGGTCTCCTGAGTAACACCGCTGGTCATCGTCTGCCAGCACATGCTCTCTGGCCAGTTTTATATACTAAGCTAATGAGTATATGTATTTTACTTCGTATACTCTTTTTACTCTTTAGATATATTGAAAAAAATATGTTAAATCAAGGAAAGTGTTTGATTTTAAATTTAGACGTGTGTTTAGATAAGGATACTAGAAGGTGAACAAGCCGCTCCCAGTTAATGTTGTGATCATCCCTGGCGTGGTCAATGCCTGTCTCTAACAAACTTTGTTTCTCCAGTGCTGCACATAGGTCGCAGTTTGTAAGTATTCCATTGGTATACCTTTGATATAACTGTAGTGTATGTAGAAGAGTACTAAAGAGTTAAAACTAAAGTGTGACTGCAGCTCATGACAGTTATGGTGATGACAAGGCTTTTTTTTTATCTTTCAAAATTGATCATAATTGAGAGACAGTGGTATGAATAAGGTCAATACTCCTCCATTGGGACAGTGGTATGAATAAGGTCAATACTCCTCCATTGGGACAGTGGTATGAATAAGGTCAATACTCCTCCATTGGGACAGTGGTATGAATAAGGTCAATACTCCTCCATTGGGACAGTGGTATGAATAAGGTCAATACTCCTCCATTGGGACAGTGGTATGAATAAGGTCAATACTCCTCCATTGGGACAGTGGTATGAATAAGGTCAATACTCCTCCATTGGCTGTCCTCTGGTTGGGGTTTGAGAATAGGTTTTTTTTAGTCGTTTTACTCAAATCTGACCTTCATTTCTTTTAACATTAACGGTTTTTGCAAAACGAACATTTTCATTTTTAACAACTATTTGCACAGAAATGGAGGTCAAATTTGAGTAAAACATCAAAATTTTTTTCATTGGGACCGAGTCCCTTAGGGTTGACCTATATGTTTCTCCGGTGTATTTTGCTGTTTTAAACGAATCTCACCTTCATTTTTGCGGAAATTGCGGTAAATTTGCATTAGTGCACACAACTCGGTTCGAAAGTCAAAACTATGTTTTTCTAGGGTATTTTTGTGTGTTTTGATTAGTTTTACCCGTTATTTCCATCGGAAAATGTCTGTGTCTTAGTTATTGGGAGTTTTAGGTAGGCGTTTTCCGATAAAAATTGTTCAAGCGAATACAAAATACACACAAAAAAACACACCAGAAAAACATATAAACCGAACCTTTTTTTGGTTGACCCAACCTAACCAAAATGACCTGACCTGACCTGACCTAACATAACATAACATGATGGAATCACACTTCTTACCTTATTGTTCTGGTTCTGGTTCGTCGTCGGATTTACTACAATGTCAACTATGTTGGTCTTGATATTTACACTCGTTCTTACACTTAGGACACTTTACTGAGGTCGGGAGAACACCATGAGATCTACAAAATGCTCTTGCTTGTTAGTTTTTTACCCAAAACACGAAATCAACTCCATATAATTGAGGTGACCCCCATCACACTTTCATGGTTGGAAATGAATTTGAATTTCAAAATATGAGAAACCCAAAATCACAATCGAATCTGATTGGGCAAAAACTTCCCGCGAATTAAACCACAATTCATTTTAATTGGTGGCCCAAAAAAAACTTTTGATTGGCCGCGTCACGTGTATGGTAACGCATGTGCATGAAACACCCTGAGTGGGAGGTTGGGTAGGGGCTAATGGCGGAAGATTAATGGAAGAAAATAGAGGAGAGTTAGCAGGTGCTATCTCCGTTACTTTACGTTTGCGACGATAATGCAATAGAAGAAAATTATCTTAAAATTAGATGTCTTTTTCGAATATGATAATTGTTTTGGGGCAGGAAAGTTGTGTGCACTAATACAACAATACCGAAATTGCTCGTTTTTACCCCTCCCCTCACCCACCTATCCCATCGATAATGGGGGAGAGCCTAGGAAATCGGGGTTTTGGGTGGGGTAAAACACGAAAACGAGTCGTCTAACCTAACCCCCAGTCAGGGGCTCCACCCCCGGACCCCCAGCAGGCTTACCTTAAACTAACCTCACCTATCATGTTCATTTCCAAATAATGTAAATGGGGTTCAAAAGACTCAAAATAGTGAGATCTAAATGTTTCAGTATTTTTAAACTTTGGGCCATGCCATGTCCAAAAGTAAAATAATACAAAAAAAAAAAGACAATTCTCATACCAAAGGAACCAACCAACCTAACCTAACCTACAAGGAGGAGGAGGAAAGGAATTGACAACTGATTCTTAAGTGAGGAGTATAACCTCAAGTAAACATGGCAGGAACCTGTGGACGCCAATGGACAAATATTAACCTTCAGGAATTGGGGCTTGTAATGGTATCAAAACAGTATCAACAAGTTATATCTGGCAATGTTGTATTGAAATCTATAAGTTGTAGGAAAGAAAAAGTAATACGTGTATATATTTGGTGGTAAAATTATTGTTTCGGTCATTTGCCTACAGTATTTGGAAGTTGAAATTATGTTTTTTGAATGGTGTTCATGTGTTTTCAACGATTCTAACCTTCATTTCTACCGCAAATCATAGCTTGTTTTTTTTAGCCCTCCCCCCCCCTCCCCAGTGGGAACCAGGGGTTTTTGGGTGGTGGGAAATCACGAAAAGTAATAATTTGCGATAGAAATGATGGTCAGAGTCATCCATAACCTAACCCAACCCTAAACCTATCCTATCTACCTGTGTGCTTACCTTAATTAGACTGAGAAGACTCAGAGTTGGGTTCATCGGGGTCCTCCTCTTCATCCACTAGTGTACCAAAGGTGTTTTTCAGTTTTGTATCTACAAGGATGGTTACACTTCATGCATGTAACTTCCATGGGTAAAACACTGTGTTCGTGTAGAAATTTTTGCCCTTCAGCGTGTTTACCATAATAATCTATGTGAAATCTGGCGATGGTTTGGAAATAATTCATATCACAGCCATTGCACAAGGGAGACATCTTGGAAATAAACTGAAATTCAAGTGGGTAGAGGCGGGGGCCTATAACGAACTGTGATTGGTTGATCCAAAATCATACGTACCAATCAATTTCCAATGAACAACTGTGCATGTGTCAGACTAGCACAAGCATAATGGACAAACAAACACACAGGAGCTTTCTCGGGCATTGGTAACGTAGACAAGAACTTGGAAAAAAATGACGATTTTCCAACAGTTTATTGCGATTTTCTCGGAAAGTAACCTTTTGCGGAAGAAATGCTACAGAAGAAACGAGTCTTAGAATTGTCTAAACTACTGATTCCTTATGAATCCTATAAGTCGCTGGATGACCAAAACGATAATACAGTAGACCCTTGCCATTCGTAGGTTTGCGATTTGCAATTTCAATGATTCGCTCTAAGCAAATGGTGGCTAGGGTGGCAAGCCTTTTCCTTTAGAGTTTCTATGTGAAAATGGCCCCTAAATGACTGCCTAGTGTCAGTGTTAGTGGTGCTAGTGAAGTGAAATTTAAAAGGCAGAAGTCAGTGATGACCTTAACAAAGAGAGTTAAATTATTAGATAAATTAAAGGATGGGATGAGTGCTGCTGTGGCTGGTCGGTTGTTTGGTATACCTGTACAGTAGTGCACTAAGGTAGTGCTATAAATTGCTATTTCTGGTTTTGCCTATTTGGGCCATTCCTTGGAACCTAACTCCGTGAAGAACAAGGGTTTTCTGTAATACCTGCAGTATTTGGTTATATAGAATATTAATTTTATGGTATTTATGTCAGCTGCTTGTTGATAATGAAGAAATTGTAAACTGTAATTTTAGGTTGTAATAATATTTTGTTAATGTGTACAAGGGTTACAACAATAATGTTTGTATTTTTCTCTATCATATTCCCAGGTATGAACACTCGTCTGAGTACTGCCCTCTGAGACGTTTATAAGCTACAATTAAGTCACTCCTTGCCTGCCATTGATATAACCAGGGTACCTGAGGTGCAGTAGTGCAGACAGCAGTTTGGTGGCCTTCCTTTGGATATTCTGAATCAACTGACAGTCTCCAGCATAACTCGGGGACCAGACGGGGTGACAGTAGTACAAATACAGGTAAACCCCGTTATTAATAGCCTTGGTATTCGTAACCCCGTTTATCTGCAATCAATTTATTGTTACCCATTTCCACTCTTTGCAATGGTTGCTCCGTTTATTTGCAAATTCTTACGAGCAAAATTTTGAACCACGCGCCTCAACCATAGCATAGGACAGCGTGTGTACGTATTCCTCCGCCATACGCTCCCGCTTGCCTCAGTCTGGCGTGTGTTTTGTGATCTCGCAGTTGTGTTTTGTGTGATCTCGCAATGCCTGAGCGACCAGCTACTAAAACTCCCAGCAATGTTGCCAAGCGATCACGTGTGGCGGTTATGTTGGACGTGAAATTGGATATCATAAAAAGACATGAACACGGAGAAGGAACGTCAGTGATTGGGCGCGTGCATGGCTTGGCTCCCTCTGTGGTGTATTCTATAGTTAAAAGTGCCGACAAGATCAAGGAGATGGCCGGGTCTGCAATACCACTGACAGCTACGAAGGTGACGAGGTTCCGTGATGTCTACGTTTAAAACTTACCTCGCACACCTACACACACAAACATTCACACACTCAAACATGTAAAGTAACCCTGTATACTGTACTTGTAAACATATACACCTAATAAACTCAAAGTGTTTGTTATTGATGTTTATCTGTTATTATGCCCTTGTTTCTTTATTTATTTTATCTCTATATGTATTGAGTAAAACAAGTGTTAAAATCTGACGGCCGTGACCACCGCGATGCCTGTATCTCCCTATTTACATTATTTCTTATGGGAGAAATTGCTCCGCTATTCGCAACGAGTTTCATGCCCGTAACCTTTGTGATAAGTGAGGCAGCCCTGTATACCCCAAAAGGGATTTCACATGCCTCTTTTTTTTTTTTTTATCCATGTTATATGTGCAAGTATTAACCATTTTATACAGAGCAACAATTTTGTAAAAATGTGAAAGGAATCTAGAAGCTTTATGCCTTTTTGAAGTCATGGATAACTTCTTATATTTCCTGAATTATTCCTTATAAACTTGATTTTTAAAGGAACTGATTTTTCTATGACTACTTTGCTAATTTCATTTAATTACTTATGAAATGAACAAACTAGTTTGTTTGACAAATCCCTCACATTGAAATGCTCAAATGGGCTGTCCAGATATCTGAACGACCTTCTTAAGAGACCTACTAGCTTAGTTGCTTGATTCACCTTCTTTTCACAATAGTCCGAGAACTTCAGTTCATTGTCAACAAACACACCCAGTTCCTTTTCATGTTTGGTTTCCATTAGTGCCATCTTTTCGCCCTGTTGGGACATGCGATATGCCTTCCTACTGTAGGTAAGACCTCCTTGCATCCTGTTACTCTTCTTGACATTGAATCTTAACAGCCATTCCTTTGATCACTCCTGAAGCTGACAGAAATCTTTCTGTGACTCTTCAAAGTCCATTTGGTTCTTCATAACCCTGAATAACTTGGCATCATCTGCAAACATTTGTTAAAGGAGTGTATAGCTTCTGGCATGTCCTTTATGACATTAACAAACAATAACAGGTGCTACTATAGTATGTGGTCTACCGAGCTGGTGCTACCTTATTATGCGGTCTACCAGGCTGGATTTATGTCTACCGGGATATTTATGCTGTGGGCTAAGTTAGGGCAGGTTAGGTTAAGATATATGAGATTAAGTTAGGTTAGGTTGGGTAAACAAACGCTACAGTGTAAATATCCCGTAGACCAACTCCAGCTCGGTAGACCGCAACAGCTTGGTAGACCACATGCTATAGTAGCACCCAATAACTGCCCTGTCGTACCCCAGTTTTCACGGGTATGTATGGCGATTTCATGCCATTAATCACATCACACTGCCTGCAGTTGTGAAGAAAGTCCCTGATCCACGCTAGGACGTTTACCCGAATTTTGTATCCTTCCAGTTTAATTTTCAGCCTTTGTTGGGGCAAGCTGCTGAAGGCCTTGGTTCATTCCTGCTAAAATTACAGGAGTTTCAGTTAAGATACACAGTAGTGGCATTAGGATAAACAAAAGTGGACATTTATACTAAGTGTTTTATTTTTTTAGTATACAGTACAGTACTTAAGTTATGCATTGAAGACTACTTTAACCTTATACTGAGAACATTGTAAATTAGTGACTAGAATTGCATTTTTTTTTCTGTTGGTTTTCATCCTGAACAGTAATGTACTGAACATCCATCCACACTATTTTTTTATTTTATATGAGAATTTATTGTCTGGCCACACTATTGGGTAGCCTCACTTATTTGCTATGTTCCTATTTCCAGTTAGGACATATTGTGTGGCTTACTGTACTGTAGTATTAGTGGTGATAGGCTAATTAAAAGTTTACTGTATTATATTAATCTCTTTTTACAGGAGCACCCATGAGTCAAGCAACCCAACAAGAGGAGGGCAATGGCCAGGAAAGGGAGAAGGAAGAAGCTGCTGCAAGGAATAAAAAAGTTCTAAAAAAAATTGAAAAAATTAAATTGAAGAGGTGTTTCAGGAGCTGTAGGAGACAGTCCTCTGCAGGTAGTAATATATTGTTAGATTTAATTTTATCTTCTCAGTTATTTTTTATTTTAATGGTTGATATTGACGCCTGACCTGCCGATGAGTTATTTGTTTTGGTGTTTATTTTCTTACTCTTATTTTCATCAGTGAGTTCTGGTATGATAATCATTTATTTTACAAATGCTTCGTTTGGTAAATATTTATGTGCCTAAAGTGCTCACTAGTTTGTGTTCTCGGCAGTAATGTGGTGGTTTTATTTTAAGGTTAGGTTAGATTGCAAAAACTGCACACACTACAACAGTGTCCTCTATAGAACACAATGAAATTGCAGCGTTTTTATAATCATTTGCTATGTTAAATTGCCATTGGGTCAGTCGTCAATAATTACCTTTCTTTTATATGCTTACTGACTTAGTCGTTAAACTGAAGGTCAACTGACTTACCATACTGTCATGGTGTGTTTTCTCTTCTTTTACCTTAATCAATTTCCTTCTCCACAAACATTCTTACATATCTTCATCTTACATATCTTCACTTAACCCAATAACTGCTGTATTTTGGAAAGTGAGGCTACATTATATGTTGGCAAAAACTTGATAAATGAGAGTACAAAAAAGGAAGAATCAAATTGAAGATATAAAATTTAGAAGCCATAAAAACTTTGTGGCGAGTTATAAGTCTGTGAAGTGAGGCGAAGTGTAACTGGCAACTGCCGAGTGCTGTGATGGTGCAGCAGCATGTTTTGTGGTACAAAGTGGGAGGTAAGCCCATGCATAGGTGATGAGCCAGGTTATGGCATCATAGGTGTGAGTGAGGGGACCCACTGAGAACTGGAGGGGAGGATGATGAGATGTACTTATATAATTCGAAACCATTTCAAGATTATAATAGCAAGCTGATTCTGAGGCTCTACAAGAATTGTCTCACTCTTCTGTCTCTCTTATTCGTTTACCTAACATGCTTAGTATGAGTTTTGGCATACAGCTTTAAATACATAGCACTATATGAGACAACAATGGTGGTTTGTGGTAAATCATCTGAAGATGATGACAGCACTTGAAGGGTTAATGTCTAGACTAGTGAAAAGTCTCTCCTATTACAATAATATGTCATCTCCATTTACTGTACAAAGTAAGTTATCATTGTCATCACTTTTTGCTCTGTCACAAATCAAACATCTCATTTAAATGCATCCATATATTATCTGATTAAATTTCAGGATATTTGGTTGATTTTTGCATTTTTATTTTTTCACCAATTTATAGACTTATTATCTTGTGCACAGTGAGGTCATATGTTTTATGAACACAGTTTAAGTTAAATTGATAGATTAACAAAATCTTTTCTTATAGAAAAGGTTTTGTGGCTTATCCAAATATCCTATTTGTGACTATATTATTTATCTCCTTTAGGATTTGACATGGCTAGTGTGTATGAATTAAAACTCCGGAGACTGAGGATGAACAATCAAGCTCTTGCAAAGGCACTTGCAGACAAGAAAATTGAGGCACAGGAATGGTTAGTTGCAGTAGTACTGTATTTTATTATTATACCTGGTAAACATTACACACTTAATTTGTCTATTGAAGCTTGGTTGATACTTTCTTGTGTACTATTACTGTTATATGGTAATTAATATGTACAGTCTCTCCTCCACTTACGACGGGGTTCCGTTCAGACTACCAGGTCGTAAGTCGATTGAATTGTAAGTCGAACCGACAAAAATAATATAGTACAGGTAATAATTGTAAAACTTTTACCTTTTTAATACACAAACTGAGCAGGATACGATGTGGATGCTGGACACGTGCGGCAGTGTGCCAGCCGAAGTTGTCGTACGGCGTTGTTAGACAATACACTGTACGGCCAAACGTCCAGACTCGAAAATAATGTAAATTATTTTAATACTGTATAATAAAACGACAATGACTGTCTTAAGTGTCGTAAGTCGAGGAGAGACTGTAGTTAGATATTGTACATATTAACAAAAAAAATATATTCAATGATTGTTTGAAATTCAAATTTTACTGTTGAAGTCAGTGTAGCAAACTTTGAACTTTGTTTGGCAAATGAAACTTGGTTTGCTTTTTAATATATATACAGGTACTCCTCGACTTATGACCACCCGGACATACAACTGCCGCAGTTGTATAAAATAATTTTAAAAGTACAGTACATATTTTCGAGTCCCGTTGTTAGTGATCGCGCTGTGTACTGACAAAATTTTTTTTTTTAATTCCCTTTAAAATGGCTGGCAAGCATAGAAGTGAGAGTTCTCGTGCTGTTGAGAAGAAAAAGAGACTCCCACTTCAGATTTTCTATGTATTATTTTCGCCTTTTCGACTTACGACCTGGTCGTCGGTCCGGAACCCCGTCGTAAGTCGAGTAGAGACTGTATATATATATATATAGTCATGCGCCGGTTAACGTCCTAGATACGTTCTTGGAAACGTGACGTTAACCAAAATGAACGTTGTCTGATCATCATATAAACTTTTTATTTATACTTACTGTACTTGTATGTGGAATACTATTTACAGTGCGTACATATACACTTTTACTCTTAAATCACTACTGTAATGTGATACAGGTGATTAATTTTTATCTCGTGCAAAATACATGACGTTTATATTAAAATTATTCACTGTTTTACAAGGATTCCAGCAACGCCAGCAGATGGGGGAGAGAGAGGGTGCGAGCGAGGGGGCGTGGGGGGAGGGGAGGTAGTACGTTTGATAGTTGGCACAGTCCCAGGTCTAATGCGTGCATATTTATCAGTTCTTAGGTGACTAAGCTTCTCTCTTATAAAAAGCCAGTGAAATGACCTGGGTGAATATAATTAACATACCTGGGATTCTTGTAACATACTGATTAATTTGAATATAAACATGCTATAATTTGCACTAGACAAAACAATTTTAGTACCATAATCAAATTAGTACATGTGCACTCCAGCTTTGCACTAAGAAATCTATGTAAATCTACCCAAAAATACAATTGAAAAACTTTTTATAAAATGTACTATACTGTACACTAATGCACAACAATTTTTATCTCTTGAGCAAAATATATGATGTTTATATTCAAATTATTGGCTGTCTTGCAAGGATTCCAGCAATGCAAATTATAATCTCCTAACTTTAGTCTGAGATATTATATAAGATAAAAACTAAGCCTAAAAGCCTGGCTGGGGGGAGGGACTGATGGCTCCGCCACCCAGCGAGGGGTTGGGGGGGTTGAGGTGATAAGTTTGAGGTGAAGGTCTCTGTGTGTTTATTTAACAGTCCTACTAAGCTTCTTTCCTTTTAAAATGCCAGTGATATGACCTAGGAAAATATAATTAACATAGCTGGGATTCTTGTAAGATACTGATTTATTTGAATATAAACATGTTGTAATTCGCACTAGACATAACAATTTTAGTACCGTAATCAAATTAGTACATGTGCACTCCAGCTTTGCACTAATTTATTTTACGTTTATTTTAGTATGGTGTGTGCATGTAAATGGATGAAAATAAATGAAGAAATTTATGTAAATCTACCCAAAAATACAGTTGAAAAACTTTTTATAAAATGTACTACAGTATTGTACACTAATGTACTACATTTTTTATATCTTGAGCAAAATATATGATGCTTATATTCAAATTAATCTCTGTCTTGCAAGGATTTCAGCAATGCAAATTATATTATCCTAACTTTAGTCTGAGATATTATATAAAATAAACATAAAGAAATCACCAATCTTTTATCTTGAACACGAGGGTGGTGGGGGGGGGGTGAGGTGACAGAATGTCTGGCGTTTGTTTGTTTGTTTATTTATTTGAGATAAGATTTGACAGTTGGCGCTGAAGGCCTGCCTGCGTGTTTATTTATCATTACTTAAGAGTGACTAAGCTCTTCTCATAATTTTCCACCCAAACGACCTGGGTGAATATAACTTACATTGGAGGGATTCTTGTAAGATAGTAATTTATTTGAATGTTTTTTTTTTCAATTTAAATTTTAATTGTTTATTCCTTGATAGAGGAAGCGGGATCCTAGTGCTGTCACTTGGTACCCCTATACCATAACACCAGAAGCAACTGGCCAGTGTCAAGTATATACAGTCATCCCTTGGTTATCGCGCCTAATTGGGACCCCGCCGATAACGAAAGTACAGAACCTATGGGATTTATTTTAATTGGTTCCAGGCACCCAAGACCCAACCCCAAGTTTCCCATTTTACGACCATTTATACCCACTAAATATATAAATATATATATATATATATATATATACAATCAACACCTCAACCCGCCAGGATTCGAACCCACGGCCCACAAGCCCATGACTGTGACCGGGGAACGCTAACCGCTGGACCACCAGGATACTAAAAGCAGTCCTAGACTTTGTTATATTTCACACAAAGCCTGTTCAACGAGCTTATGGCGCTGTGAACCTCTAATGGGGACCACCCGTATCACTTAGGTGGTCAGAGTAACGTTTTACCAAATCCGGCTTCGAAACACGAGGATCCATATATATTTCATTAGCCCAATAAAGCACGCGGACTTCTACATACAATCAACATATGCTAATAATAGTTAGAAAAATTACGTAACCATCACGGTATCGACGGTTTCTTTATCGACGGCCGTCTACAGAACGTAACCCCCGTCGATAAAGAGGGAGTACTGTACTGTACAATATTGACTAATTCACTAGATAACGTACACAACTAATGGTTGGTAAAACTTGTCAAGTAAGTAAGTGTCAAGTCTGTCAGTATGAGTAGCATGTGTGAGGGCTTGTGTCCCCCATCATCGGAGTCCATTTTCTCTCGCTTCAGGACGCCTGAGTCCTCCGTTTCTCTCAATCTTAGAGTGCACCAGAGACTTCGTTATTCCTTAGTAATGACATAGAATTTGAAATTGCAACCCCAATTGCAACTGGGGTTGCAATTGTTGAGGCAACTAGATATGTCTGATTACAGCAAATGTGTTATTGTCAATTTGTAGGTGAAAGATTTTATCCTCAATAGATGTAGGTTAACATTACACCTGGAGGCAAATGCTTAGAAAAGCCTAAGTAAGGAAGCATATTTCTTTAACACATAATATCTGACCAGTATGGGGAGGATTATTGTGTCTCCGTCAGGGGGTTGTGGAGTGGTGGTCCAGCAGGCGTCAGTTTTTTGGGGCCACAGACGATATGATGACGTTAACTCAAAGATGATTGTATATATATATATATATATATATATATATATATATATATATATATATATATATATATATATATATATATATATATATATATATATATATATATATATATATATATATGTGTGTGTGCTGATAACCACAAGGAAAGAAGAAAACACGAAATTCCCAAGCGCTTTCGTGTAATTCACATCTTCAGGGGTGAGTACAGACTAAAGAGAAATACAAACCAAGGTGTATATGTACAGAGGAGGGTGAGACCAGGTCCATAATGGCTGCATAGGTAATTATCTCTACTAATCTTTAAATAAGTACACAACGGTTGCCAACCTATTTGTATTTTCTCTAGTCTGTACTCACCCTGAAGATGTGAATTACACTCTAAAGCGCTTTGGGAACTTCTGTGTTTTCTTCTTTCCTTGTATTATCAGCATATATATATATATATATATATATATATATATATATATATATATATATATATATATATATATATGTATGTATGTATGTATGTATGTATATATATACACACACAGTAAACCCTCGATAACTCGGCACATATGAGGCTCTGGCCTTGCTGAGTTATCCCATATTCCGACTTAGCGAGGCCCCCCGACCCCCTCCTACAATGTATTAGCCCTTGTTTAATGGCAATAACAATTATATAAGTTTGGGTTAATACATTTAGTTTATATAATACAATCACCTTACTGTGATCTTCCATAAGCTGTGAGGTGCCATGTGCTGTTCATGTGAGGGGAAATTCCTTAGTAGGCTGACCTTGAGATTGTAGGGTTAACCTGGCATCTTCAGAGGCCCCCCTCTTCTCAGAGACACCTTCCCTCACAGGTACCAGTCCTCAGGACCTCAGTTCACACTTGACTTTCAAGAGAATCGGACAGGTGAATTAACTCATCTCGGCTGAGTCCTGTCCTCAAGTAACACTCATAGCTTACACTCGGTGCTTATACTAATATCCTGTGACATTTCCAGTTTATCAATAAATGGAAAAAAAGACCATTTTGGGTTTGTAACTTAACCCCTTAACTTATTTATATATAAGCCAAGTTAAAAGGGAGCTCTACCCAAAGCTTATATATAACAAAAATACAACAATAAAAAGTTAATGACCCATATAATTATGTGTACATGTAATTAGTAAATGTAAAAAATGTAACACTTACCAGCACTGCAGGTGAAGAATGAGGCATGGTAGGTGATGCAGGTGGCCAGATATGCTGAGATTTTCCCAGATAATTTTATATATATCGGCATTTGCCAAGTTATAGTAATACATTCTTAGACCTTATCCTTGACGAATTATTGAGGGTTTACTTTATCTCCATTAGCTGGAATCCCTCAAACCTGATGCTATCCGATAGCCGGAATTGAAATTTTCACAAAAATTCGTTCCCAAAGCCGGAATTTATGGAAAATTCGGAACGATTTTCCAAGGGGCAGATTTCCCTTAATATCCAGAAAATTCCAGGGATTTTTTTGGGGGGAGGGTGAGAGATAAAAATCAGGCGCATTTTCCGGAAATTCTGAGAATAATTTTCCGGTACCCAAAAAATTCTGGGGATGGGGGATATTTTTCCGGGTTCAAGAGGTGATGTAATGGGAACTTTCTGGAACTTCTGAGAACATTTTTCCGCTACCTGGAAAATTCCGGGGATGAGGGATTTTTTTCCGGCTTTGAGAGTGTCGTCTCGTTACCCAGATATCTCTCATTCCCAGAATTGCTCTGCACCGATTGTTCTGGCTAACTGATACATATAATATATTGCAATTAATCACTGTAGGTGCGCTTGATCCATGTATATGCTGATAACCACAAGGAAACAAGAAAACACGAAGTTCCCAAGCACTTTTGTGTAATTTACATCTTCAAGAGTGAGTACAGACTGAGGAGTAGTTACTGACAAGGCTAATATATACAGTAAAGGAGAGTGAGATCAAGTCACTAGGGACAGCAGGTGTCCACCATATTCAGGTCATAAGCTAGTGACCCAACCCTTTTCCCTAGTTACCAATCTTATCACAAAATTTTCCAATTTGTTCGTGCCATTACAAAGTGCTTTCGTGTAATTCACATGCTGTCCCTAGAGAATTGATCTCACTCTCCTTTACTGTACTATATATTAGCCTTGTCAGTAATAACTCATTAGTCTGTACACACACAGAGTTCTTCATATTACATGAGGAATGTGTTCCACCGAAATACAACATAGTGAAATGTTTTATAATGATGAATTTTCCCCCTGTAAGAATTAATGTAATTAGGGATATATGCATTTCAACATGTACAGTAATACCCCCTGAAAATTCAGGATGTGTTCCTTGAAAGAGAACTTTCAGCAAATCAGCTTACAATGGGGTCATTATAAGATACTGTACTGTCCTGTATAGTATTTAATATGGAGACATATTCCAAACAAAAAATTTTGATACTTTTGGGTGTTGAATGGTGGCTCGATTTGGCTACTTGTACAATAAAACAACTGATTGATAAATATACCAGGGTATATGCAGGTGTATCATAGTACACAACAATATTATTTAAAAAGTGCTGAAGATAGATGTTGTGGTAAGCATGACGGTGTGGGCAATCAGCCGTTTGCACTGCCGCTATGTAAACAAAGCTTCCTGAAATTGATTATTTTGCAATATTTTATACACCCCTGCTAAAGTACTAAAGGATGTGTACTATACCACAATCTCAAGCCAATGGTAAGATTGGTATCCATCCTTTGAAAGTATCCATAGTTGAAATAGTGTTTGTTTTTAGGGAATTTGGTATGGAGATTATGTAATCAATATTATTAGTTGTAGTAGTAGTACTGTAGTATTTTTTTAAAACTTAGAAATTTATGAAAATACTATACAGTATTAAAATAATGTTCTTTACCACTTCATCATGGAGACCGCACTTTTTATTTTTTATTTGGCTAACGTCAAATGATTTTATTCAATAGAGAGAGACTTCTGTACATTAGGGGTTAATATACTACCTGCAACTGAAGAAAATTTAATATTGTTTTATTCTGGCTAAAGTTCAGTTTTGATTAGTCATAACAATTACAAATGTAAGAAACAAAGCTCAACTAATTACCCTTGATATTTTTTGGTTGCTATATTAACTACAGGTATATGTATTTTATATTTCTTGTCAGAGAGAAATAAATCTCAACCTAAGTATTCTTCTATTCATTAATTTTTTATCCACAACTCAGGTACAGAGAGATAATTGATCAGAAGATGGAGTTACAGGAGGTGCAGGAGCGACTGCTTAGGGCCACTGACAAAGACTTTGAGGTTGCTGTGGAGTATGAGGTGGAGAAAAGGCTCAGAGTGAGTTGACAAAGTTAATATTTAAGTAAACCACTTTTGATAAGGAAGAACTTTTATTATAAATAGTGTGCTGTTATTTTTTATTATATTGGTGGGGTTAAGAGAAGGTCACACACCCTTTGAATGTTATTTGACGGTTTTCCTATCCTTGGTAGTAAGTAAACCTACCTCCACCACGGTGGAAAAATGGACTCTTCCTCAATGACTCAAAGATCCTCACAAATAATATTTCATTTTGAACTTGGACAAGTTTGAGTAGTATTGCATGTAATATGACATCTGAGGTGAGATTTTACAAGTTCAAAGTGGTTTACCTGTAGAATGATGGCCAGCTGCTCAGCTAACATAAGAGCATAAGAAAATAAGGAGTCTGCAATCGGCCGGTTGGCCTGTGCATGGCAGCTCCTGTCGAGAGTTACTACCACTCTCTATCATCCATGAATCTATCTCGCCTCCTTTTGAAACTTTCCAGAGTTCCAGCACCTACTACAAAGTTGCTAAGCTTGTTCCACTCGTCAACCACCCTATTTGTGAACCAGTTCCTTCCTATCTCCCTCCTAAACCTAAACTTATCCAACTTAAATCTGTTGCTCCGAGTCCTTTCCTGCTCGGATATTATAAGAACTTTATCTATATCCCCTTTATTGATTCCTTTCACCCACTTAAATACTTCTATCATAACTCCCCGCACTCTTCGTCTTTCTAGGGAATGCAAGTTAAGTTCTTTAACCTATTCTGATATGGAAGGTTTCTAAGTCCCGGAATCATTTTCGTCATTCTTCGCTGCACCGACTCTAGTGAATTGATATCCATTCTATAATAAGGGCACCAGAACTGAACCGCATAATCGAGGTGCGGCCTGACTAGCGCAAGATATAGTTGCAATAAGACCTCTGCACTCTTATTACTTACACTTCTAGATATAAAACCCAATACTCTGTTTGCCATATTTCAAACATTAACGCACTGTTTTCTAGGCCATAGGTCCGGGCTTACAAGTACCCCTAGGTCTCTTTCACAAGTCGACTTCTCTAGGTTGATGTTGTTAAGGCTTTATACATTGTCAGTATTTGTTCTTCCAATATTAAGTATGCTGCACTTGCTGGTGTTGAATTTCATTTGCCATTTTTCAGACCACCCCTGCAGTTTATTTAGATCTCCTGTAATGCATTTGCATCCTACCCTGAATTAATCTGCCGCCCTATTTTGGTGTCATCCGCAAACTTGCTTATGTCACTGCTGATCCCAGTATCTAGATCGTTTATGTAGATTATGAACAAGAGTGGGCCTAGTACTGACCCTTGGGGAACCCCACTGGTTACACGGCCCCACTCAGATTTAACACCATCTACGCTAACCCTCTGCGTTCTATCGGTGAGCCATGATTTTATCCAATTTAAAACTTTCCCCTCGATACCATGAGCCTTAATTTTTCTCAGAAGCCTCTGATGCGGTACTCTGTCAAATGCTTTGCTAAAGTCTAAGTAAATAACATCGTAATTTTCGTCATATCTACTACCTCGAAGACTTTCCTAAAAAACGTCAGCAGATTTGTTAGACAAGACTTTTCCTTTGTAAACCCATGTTGAGAGTCGTAGATTAATTTGCTTTTCTCTAGATGCGATCGGATGCTATCTGCTATAATTGATTCAAGAAATTTCCCCACTACTGACGTCAAACTGATCGGCCGGTAATTTGACGCTGATGCTCTGTCTCCCTTTTTGAATATGGGTACTACATTTGCCTGTTTCCACAAGTCTGGCACAACTCCGGTGTCTAATTATTTTGTAAATAAATTTACGAGGGGTCCGCTAATCTGTTCCCTATACTCTTTCAAGTCTCAAGGGAAAATTTCGTCCGGCCCTGGGGATTTTGTCTTCTTTAGTTTATTTATCCTCTTAAGAACATCCTCTTTTCTGATAGTGATATTCTTTAATTTCTCTTCTTCTTTTCCCCTTTCCCCTACCTTAGTGCACTACTGTATGCTTATGCAAATAACCGACCAGCTGCAACAGCACTCATCCCCTCCTTTAAACTTATCTGATAATAAAACTTTCCTTGTGAGGGTCATCACTGACTTCTGCTTTTTAAATTTCACTCCACTAGCATCACTGACACTAGGCAGTCTTTTAGGGACCATTTTAACACAGCCGTCTCGTCTCATCGTGTGTTTTAATATTCCACGTATTATTAATAAATTGTATTGTTAATTTTGCACACACAAACATTAATTCAATAAAAACAAATTCAGAAACATTAATTAAAATATATATATGAACAGTAAATAAGTGTTGCTTTCATATTCTTATGTAAAGTAATGACGATATGTTTTTACGTGTGCGCACTTACATACGCGATCTCCCTTTTTTCTTTACCATTATCGTTAGCTACTTCTATTGTTCCATTTATTAACATTAAATAACATTACTTAAAACAACCATATTAATTTTACTACAGCTACAACCAAGGTCATATTTTCTTCAGTTTTATATGTAGAACCAGTCAGTCACTGGTTTTGTAATCAACGAAAACAATGCTGTGTCATTTCCTCATGTGTTTTAATATTCTACATATTATTAATGAATTGTATTGCTCATTTTGCACACGTAACATTAATTCAATAAAAGACATTCAGTAATGAAACAATAATGAATCTTTTGTACATAAGAGAAATGACGCTGTTTACACGATTATGCACGTCGTCTGCACGTTGGCGGGCCGTTCAAACCCGTCGAAATTCAAGTTTCCGCCGTCAATTTTTTTTTTTTGCGTTCCAATAAAATACGTTGAATTAAAAACTTGCGAAATTTGATAAGCTACTATACGACATTTAACCCTTCAATATGTCTTCAAAGAGACCATGATGCAGAGAAAGTGGTGCTAGTGCTTCCAAGCATAAGCAAAAGTCACTATCTATCCAGGAAAAGGGTGAATTTCCATGATCCGGCACCGGTCAGGTCCTGAGGTTGCCGGACTAGAGAGGTACAACCTGTACCAGTGCCCTTCATATACAGTAAAATACTTATTTTTACCTTATTATTCGGCTTGTCATTAAAGGATATCATATTGGAAATGTCTCAGAGAGAATTTATTCAGGATTATTATGGTATCAAATTGATCTCCCTAACAAAAATAGAAGTTTATAACGAATGCTGTGAGGAAGGGAGAGGAGAAGGGTCCATGGAGGGTAAAGTGACCCACCCTCCCCCAAAGGGTCACCTCATTGTGTGTCTACTGTACTGACTAGAGATGGGGTCAATTCATATTTGTCAATTCAATTCAACTCCAATTCAGAATAAAATTTGAATTAAACAATCCCAATTCAATTCATTATGGTCGGTATTTCATTCAATTCAAAATCAATTCTAATCTACCATTAATCTAAGGGAAAGAAATAAAAATTTGAGGTTTCAAATTAACTTTATTTTTTATCAAAAATGCTCTACCACACAAACCAATCACATTCTTTATCAACCGAAAGTTCAAATGGTTTAATTCTTTGTATTAGTAAACAAAATATGAATGAGTCCAAGTTACTGAGGATTGCATCTGATCATCATAAGTTGCCCAAGTCTTTTATCGCTTAAATTGCACCTCTCTGGCCTGAAGAGCTTGCCAGCAATGGAGAACAGTCGTTCCACCGGAGACGATGTAGCAGGAATGGCCAGGTACTTTGCTGCAAGCCTGGCGAGGACAGGAAACTCAGGTTGCTTGGCCTTCCAGTTGCCAAGGGGATCACCATCTTCCTGTAGACATGGTTGGTTGAGGTAGAGTGAGGCCTCAGTTTCTGGTGGAGTTGGTCTTGGTGTAGAAGACCGGTTGGCCAGGGCAACGAACTTGTTCCTCTTCATCGGTGGTGGTTCAGCAGGGGAAGTGTCTGTTGCTGTAGGATCAACACTGCCTGCCATATTGTATTTCACAGTCAGAAGGTCACTAATGTCTTGCACTTCATTGTCATAGTCATGACACCAGCCCAGCTTGTAACATGGGTCTAAGGTGGCAGCTAGATGGAAAGCCTCCATAGACTCAAACTTATTCAGACGAGTCTCTGTTGAGGACTGAAACACGCTTGCTATTATACACTTCATGAAGACTAGCTAAAGCAGCCCGAAGACCACCAACACAGTTAACTACCAGACTAGATGTCACCATGTTTTGTCCCTGAATCTGATTAGTCACATACTCATATGGCTGGAGTGTATCACAGAGCTCCTTGATGGTGTTCAGCTCATATTGCTTCACCTTGTAGGGAGTGTCAAGTTTGTCCCACACTTAAGGTGAAACTGACCTCATCATCGTCAACTGGCTATTCCAGCATGTACATGTGGTAAGCTTACACTGCCAATCACAGACCAACAGGCCAGGACGTGTACTATACTGAACTGTTTTGCCCACACCATCTCAGTCAGGCCCACTGACAGGAACTGAACTTGTTGTGAATCTTAAATATATCTGAAATATATTTATTAGAAACACATGAAATATGCAAGAAATAGTTTCTCAGTTCAATGAAAATGAATCCATCACTTGATATATTTTTAATATATTTTTTGTGCTAGCTAACTGTATATTTTAGTTTTTATTTGAATATAAGTTAGTTATTGCAAAATAATGAAGATGCATATTACAGTATAATATATTATTTTATCAATTCATTACATCAATTCATATCAATTCCTTTTCAATTCAATAATTTGTTTTCAATTCCAATTCAAGGATTTTGTTATCAATTCCAATTCAATTCATAATTGACCCGTATTATTAATTTATACAGCACAGTATAAGAAACAATATGTAAATTCAGTCTTTTTTCTCTCCAGTGTTCTTGTGTTAACTTGTTTGAAACTCACTATACATATATATGAAAGCATATAGGGTAAATACCCGGTATATGACATGGACAGAAACACTTCCTATGATCTCTACTTTTTTTTTTCATTTTCAGGAGCACTGTGAACCCATCAGTGCAGCCATTAGTACAGCAATGGATAATGTGGTGGTTGTGGTTGAGAGTTTAACCAAAGTAAAGCAGTTGGTAAGCGGGGCCCTAAACACCTGCCGAAATCGTTCCTCATCCAACAACCTCCCTCGCACTTCAGGTTGGTTTGGGTATTTGTTAAACTAGATATTTACTGTACAATAGGGAAACTTATTTGTGTATATAAATGATAAACTGATAATGTTTGTTATTGAGGTTCCATATGAAAATCTGTGTTTCAGTCTCGGTATGAATAAAAGAACCTATGCTGTGGTATTGATATATTTCATTTCAAATACACCTGTAGTACAAATATGTTTTAGATGTTAATTTACTTTTCCTCAGGTTCAAGGTTGCCACTCGGTCCTATTGGCAACAATTTGTTACCCCGGCAAAGTGTTGTTCTTCCTATGGTCAGTGGTCATGTGCTACAGCCAGCTATGGTAGCTATTCCTAAGTTAGATGTAATGTGGAATAGAAAGTTGAAAGAACGCATCCAAGGTGAGATTAACAGGGTTTTTTAAGGTAATAAATTTAGCTTATGCCAATGTTTCATTCTTTTTAATCATTTCATGCATGGTGCAGGTTAGCTGGAATAACAAATGCTACACTTTTTGTCATTCATTTCATCAAATTGCTCAAACAGATGTGCTCTACAGCATGGCCCAAATTTCCATCTGGATTAATCTTGTCATTTCAAACTACCCAGCACCACCCACCAACAGCATGATCATCTTAAAACACTCATCATTGTATTCATTAATCTTGCACACACTACATTTCTCAGATCCTAATCCCAAGCCTATTTATTATCTCCCTCAGTCCATCCTTCCACCTCCTTGTACCTCCTTCACCCCATCCTTCTACCTCCCTAACCCCATCCTTCCACCTCCTTGATAACCTCACTTCTGCTCAGTTGAACACCTTACCAGTCATTCTTTCTCACTTCTGTCATTATGATCAGACCACCTTAGCACAGACTGATTGGCTTTCTTTGATGCACTTTTCTTCTCCATGTCACTTTATTTTCGTGTTTTGTATTCTATCGACCCATTTATCCCACCCTTTCTCAAGCACATTTTTACTGAAATTTTTAACTTGCATCATTCTCTTGCATGCTGAGTTTATTTTTACACCCTCTCCATAATGTTGGCTCAGGTTTTCCTCAAATGTTGCGGTTTTTGCCTCGTATGACACATTGCTCTCAGTTCATACATTTCTCAATACACTAATTACCTTTTATTCCTCAGTTCTATCTCCATTCCAAGTAATATTCATGTCTTCCCGTCTTCTTTCTCTGTTTGTTTTTTGTCACTTTATTTTTGTTCTTACTCACTGTGAACTTTCTCCTACTGCACCCACTCCAAACTCGTTCAACAACATTTTTACTTCTTTAACCCAAGCAGTGGATCTGCTGGGTCAGGCATAAGTTGACACATTTTTTAAGTTGATATCTGACCATTCCCAGTACACTTATGTGACCAGAAGTACAATATATTCCTGAAATCTTGAAAATCTCTAAATAAGATCTTTTTCAACTTAACTGTAGCACCTGAAAAGGAGGAGTCAATTTGTTTTTCCCTTTAACATTTACTCTTGAGAAACAATTCTTTCAATATTGAATTTACCACACTTTTTTTTTTTTTTCAAACCTTTTCCTCACAATAATACAAGGTGGCTGTAATCAGCACCAAATATGCTTACAATTTTCCCATCATTCTTCATCATTCAATAATTCTTACTGCAATAATTGATGTTTTCTGCTATACACTATTACTGTTCTCCACTTCCATAACAATGCCCTGGATATTCATATGGTTTGCCATTGTCATTTCTCACTAGCCAGTTTCACACACTAGCTTTATATCTTTCCTTCTAGCTTATTTAATTCATTAATTTTGCATATTAGTCTTCTGTCCAATAATCTTTTATATACTCTGCTGGTATGCCTACAAGTGTACTGTACTTACGAATTTAATTGTATTATCAATCCTCTCTGGGCATTCTGTATCATAATTTTCTCCACATTTTCATTCATTCCCTGCACCCAAAATGTCAGATACATTCCTTTCACCCATTCTTGCACTTTGATTCTTTCACACTGACACTTAGTATTCTTTGAGGTACTTGTTTTGATAATTGATACTATTAGTTTTTTCTTGATTGTTTACAGTTAATGAAGAAAGGGATTTTGACATGAGTGTGATAGGGGAACTGCCCTCAAATGTTGAAGATGAGGAAATTCCATCTGCAAAGGAAGAGGTGCAGTCAGAGGATGAAGTTGAAGAGGAAAGTCCAGTCAGCTTCCCAGTATTCAATATAGCAATGAGGTGTGATCAAGGAAATAGTCCTTTTGCTAAAAAACCTAGGAAGAGACCAAGAAGAAGAATCTCTGTCCCTGAAGTAGATGTACCTGAACCACAGGTAAATTGGTTTATGTTAATTTGTTTTAATGTTGTTATATTTATGATACTGTATCTTGATATCACCTGTTCATCTGCCGCATTCCAAAGGGGGACTTCTCCATACTGTAATTTGAAATGTAAGGATCAGATGGACATTTTGTTCCTTATCTTGAGGTCATAAGGATAGCTACTTTAGAATTTTTTTTTTTTTCCTGTAAAGAATTGCAATCTTGGACTGCTCAAAACTTTCTCTCCTACATGTCAAAACATAATCTCAGGCTCAAATTTTTTCTCTAGGGATGCCTTGACATACCATATTGATTGGTTCTTATCCACTAAAATAATATAACAATTTACATATTTGGCTGTATTGTTTCAAAACATAAAACAGGTTAGATCTTACGTGAAAATTAGACTAGTTAGGCTGTTCGGCAAAATATATATTGGTGAACTGAAAAGGTTCTTCTATTTTCCCACTTTTTTTTAAAGATTTTTGTATCCTCTTGATTAACCTCACATGAAGGTAGGAAAAATAAAGATAGTTTATAGATTGATAAATAGATACTGTATATTCATTCTTTGTTATTTATGCCAGAATTCAATAAGTCATTGAGAGATTTGGAACTACATTTAGATTTTTGCCCAACAGAGTATCACTCCAGATAACCCAAGGAAAGCAAATGGTGCTAGGCGAGGCAGATCAAGTAGGGGAGTGAGGGGAGCACACAATAGACTGACCAAGCTGTCTCCCACTACCAGCAGAGCAGAGTCACCCAGGTCTTCACAACGCCAAGTAAATCACACATTTAGTACGACAAGAATTCATAAACCCTTAAAAGGCAGCCATCATCAGTGTATATTAGCTGTATGGACAGTGGCCAACATTAATGGATGTTTCATATTCCTTGCATTCCATTTTTTTTTTGTGCGTGGTGGACTGGATTAGGGAATCTTTCGTCACAATTTCCCTAATTTCCTTATTTTGTCTAACTAGTTTAAATATAGATGATTGATTTATAAATGCTTAATTCCCCCAGGTAAAAATGAGACTGAGGATTGTCATTTTTAGATTCCAGTCACTGCATTATTGATTCATAGGTACCAAGTGATGAAATGAAAAATATCCTTAAAGGAATTGTTTGCCCGTATGACTTTGCTACTCCGAGGACGCAGTGATCGATTTTTTTTTTCCAGGAATACACACTAATTGATATTTATTATCTAATTTAAGGAGGAGCATATGAAACAAGAAATAAGAGCATCTGCAGCCGGCCAACCATCACCAGAAAATGTGGAGGATCCTCTTGAGGGTCCAAGCTGGTGGTATGGTGATGCCTCAAAGGGACGTGGCAGAGGTGTTAGAAGAGGCAGATTGAAGACTGGTGCTGGCTCAACCAAGTACCAATCCCACTGTAACATTGTTCCGGTGCTAGAGTCGTCGAGTGACGGTGAAGATGATGATATAAATACAGTTACGAAAAAGACTGTCAAGTCTACTGTTAAAGTGACAACAGTTAAAGCAAATTCTACTGCAGGCAAAGAGCTAAAGAGTGCTGTTCAATCTGCTAAAGTGTTACCAGTTATAGCAAATTCACCAAATGCCCAAGATCAAAGTTATTTGGCCTCTCCAGCTACCCAACAAACTATGTTGGAGGAGTTACAGGCTAAAGGTGGTGGCCGGTCTAAGGCACGATCAAAAGGATTTTCTGTGAGAATGAGTATTGACACCACAAACATAAACAAAGTTATTCCTCAGAAACAGGGGAGAAGGTCACGAAACAGCATGGAAATATTGAGGGATACAGTTGAGGATGTTAATGTGGAGAAAACTGAAAAGTCCCCCAACCTTCAATTAGAAGAAATAGTTATAGATCCTGACACACGGTCTGAAATTAAATCTCCGTATAAAGACTCCCTTCTTATGCCTCCACCATGTCTTCCATTGCCCAACCAGCATAGAGATTTCTTGATAACTGATAATGATTTAACATGTGTGAATGATGTGAGCATGGATATGACAGAGCCTATTACAAAAATCATTGCTCATACTGCTACTGAAATGGTCAATAAAGAAGAAAAAAATAAAGGGAGAAGATTCTTTAAAGCTCAGTCAAAAGAAGAGCCTCAAGATAAGTCAGAAGTAGCTGAAAAAACTCCATTTGATGTGTCACTGATGGAAACTACTCTTATAAATATACCTCCTTATTCTTCACAGAGAACTGTTGAGAAAGAAAATTTTCCACCTCAGTTTGATAATTGTAATAATGGTAAAGATAGCCCAAACAAAACCATGGGCTTACGAAGAGTATCCATTGTTGTGGAGGATATCCTGAAGAATCCTGGGATCCTAGAGAAATACACACCAAAAGTAAATGTTGCTCTCTCTTCTGAGTCTGAAAAATCTGAAAGTGGATCTGGAAGAGTGAGGAGAAACAGGCTCTGCCAAAGATCCACTATGGATAGCCCGGGGAGGAGAGAACCTATAAGAAGAAAGACCCTAAGATATTCTGTGAAGGATGAACAGGAAGAACAGATGAAGATTGAGGAAGATGAGGAGGAGGATGTATTGTGGTTGCCTTATGGTTTAAAGAAGAATAAAGCTAAGAAAGGTACTGGCTCTTCTGGAATGGCACAAGCGAAAAAATCTGTTGCTGGTCGAAAAAGGTTTTCAGCAGTTGATTCGGTGCCTCAACTATTAAAAAGGTCACGCCAAAAAAAGAACAAAAGGGACTCTGAAGCAGGAATATTTCCTGAGAATAGTGACAGTGACCAAGATGAAAATCATGATAATGAAGTCGGACAGGAAGAAAATGGACAACTTATTAGTGATGTGGCTAAAGACAAACAATCACAGAATACCAGTCCAAATAAGTTGAGTGATTGTTTTGTTCACATGAGAGATATCCGGCAATCTGTTGGCATTCTAGAAGACAGTCTCACATTTCAGCTTGATGACAGTCGTATTTCTCTATCACCGATAGGTCCTCAAAATTGCTTTAAGCACAAGGAAGACCTTAGTAAACAAATTGAAAGTGTATTGAAAAAAGCTCATCAGATGAGGATGGAACGAACATATACTTCAGGTAAATTGAGAAGTTAATGTATGAACTCCCTTCCTTCCTTCCTTCCTTCCTTCCTTCCTTTCTTTCTTTCTTTCTTTCTTTCTTTCTTTCTTTCTTTCTTTCTTTCTTTCTTTCTTTCTTTCTTTCTTCCTTCCTTCCTTTGTATCGGGCTATACAGCTCGGTGTCACTGACTGTGGTGTGCATATGTTAATCGTTATGTTTAAGGGTGCTACCTGGATTTTTATTGAGTGTGAGGAAGAATTAATTGACATGTCATTGTGGGCACTTACTCAAGAAGTCTAAGGGGTGAATTCAGAGCATTTTGGTCATTTGAATGTGCTTAAAGGACTTTTTCTTCAAATAGATCAAACTGACAATATCTTATTCACATAAAAGATTGAAAATAAAAATAAGCATGATAAGTTTTGGGCACCCTTTGCTGATCTACCTCTTTAGGTTTGACACTGTTGTTAACATCTTGTGGCCCCATCTTTAACATCTCCTCTTGTCGGATTGACACTAAACAAAGCTGAGAAAAGTGGCATTAATGAATTTTTAATAAAATAATCCAAACACGCACAGTAAAGCCTCCAATAACAGCGGTTCGACTAACAACTTTTCATATTTAAGACCCTAATTAATTTAGAACCTAATTCAATTTACGTCCTTATGTCCTTATTTACGAACAAAATATAATAAAAATATAATAAAATTACATTTTCATATAAATAATATCTAAATCCCGATATGTATTATAAAAAAAAATAATACTGTAAAAAAAGTGAAGAAGACTTGCACAAAGAAACTGCCTGGCTAATGAGTGGTAATGCGCATCGCCAGTAAACCACAGTCGGAGCTTGGTGGGCCTTTTGTTTTCACGCATCTGAACAGGAACAGGAGAAAAACTTTCTGGGAGTTCTTACAGCATTTTTGCATCCCTATTCAACATCAGCAAGTGATGGTAGTGTTGTTTCAAAAGCTAATACAAAGTGTATAAGCTTAGCCGAGAAACTAGATGTGTTAAAACGATATGAAAAAGTTGAGAGGTACTTGGATATTATATGGAGCAAGCAAGGCATTAAAATTTAAGTAAATGCAAATGACCTCTACGTAAAGATGTATAATGAGAAAAGAAAGCAGCTGTGCAAGGTTCTTTCGACAGCTTTATTATTCGAAGGCCTAAACCATCAAATTCGGCATCATAAGCAGCTTCAACATTAGGTTCAGTAACAGTTTCAACAACAGCTTTATTGAAAGCTACAGCTTCAGCCAGAGTTAAACCTGATGACTTCGTCATCTGAGTAAAAACTCGCACACTATTCATTGGCTGTCCTTATGTTTCAGACTTTACCACTATTGGTGTGTAGAATTTTTGTTTTACATTCGTAAATATTATTTAAAACATATATGAACAGTAAATAAGTGTTGCTTTCATATTCATATGTGGAGAAATGACGATATTTTTCACGTGTACGCACTTAATGTTCATACATTGGTGTTCCCAATCGCCTCGCTTTATTTCTTTACCATTAGAGGTTAGCTACTTCTAGTGTTCCATTTATTAACATTAAATATTACTTAAAACATACATACAGATATTCAATTTTTTTAAAATTAAGTTCACTACAGCTACAACCAGGGTCTTATTTTCTTCAGTTCCTTATGTAGAACCATTGTCACTCACGAAAACAATGCCTTCTTGTCTCCTCGTGTGTGTTTTAATATTCTATGTATTATTAATGAATTGCATTGTTCATTTCACACATAAACATTAATTCAATCAAATACATACAGTATTCAATAATAAACAACAATGAATCTTTAATACATTGGCGTTCCACTATCAGTCTCCCCTTTTCTTTAATATCAGTGGTTACTTCTACTGCACACTAAATAACATTAATTAAAACATTTTTTTTACATTAATTTTACTAGAGCTACAACCAGGGTCTTAATTTCTTCATTTTCTCGTGTAGAACTATCGTCCCGGACTCCCGGCTGTAAACACAAACGAAAACAATGGCGTCCCATCTCCTCTTGTGTGACCATATTATTATTCATTCATATTGTATAAGGTGCATTCAGAAACATTATTTAAAGAATATAGTTTGCAATTTTCATTAATTGTATTGTTTTGGGGGGAAAAGAGGGTAAAAAGCCACACAAAAGATATGAAAAGGTCACACTTGGGAACGCATCTCATTATAATTGCTTTATTTTAATGGTAATTAATGATTCGCAATACGATGATTCACCTTACACTGCAATATTGGAGGACACATTACTGTGGTTATTCGAGGCTTTACTGTATTGTCATTATTACCTATACCATGTGAGCAAATGTCTCTTGTCCCTCTTACACTTAATTTTATTAATCTGTATGAATATGAAATGTAATTTCTCTATTTTTAGAAAATGCTGACAAACGAGAAGAAAATGCTGATGGTACATATAATGGAGGACAAACTGTTCAAGAAGAGAAAAATAATGAAATACAACAATATAATAAAGATGATGGAAGGCAGAAAGATAAGCTGAAAGAGGAAGTGAAAGATAAGCTTCAGAAAGGAGAGAAAGATAAGCTTCAGAAAGGGGAGGAAGATAAGCTGCAGGAAGAAGAGAAAGATAAGCTGCAAGAGGAAGAGAGAGATAAGCTGCAGGAAGGAAAAGAAGACAAGCTGCAGGAAGGAGAGAAAGAGGAGCTGCAACAGGAGGAGAGAGATAAGCTGCAAGAGGGGGAGAGAGATAAGCTGCAGGAAGAAGATAAAGGTAAACTGCAGGAAAAGGAGAAAGATAAGCTGCAGGAAGAAGAGAAATATAAGCTACAGGATGAAGAGAAAAATAAGTTGCAACAAGATGAAAGAGATGAACTGGAACAAGAAAAACTGCAAGATGTGCTGCAAGAACAGATTGATGACATTCAGCAACTAGTACCACTTGATGAGGGACAACTGAAACACCAGGATCATGAGACACAGCAGATTAGTCAAGATGACACACAAAAACCAGAGAAAGATGGTGAGACATGTGGGGATGTTCAAAGTGGGTCACCTACCACAGACTCGGAGGATATGTTAAATGGTAAGGAACAGCAATTAGGGCAGGACAAGGCACAGGAGAGGCATACTGAAGGAGAATCTATAACAGTGGTTGCAGCAACTGAACTTGAAAAGGGTAAAGAGGAAGAAAACATTGAGAGTGACATTAAAAAAAATGGGTCTGAGAAGGTGACCACATTGGAAAGAGACAGTACTGAAGACATTTGTAATAAAGCACCAGCAATGCAAGCAAAGTTAGAAGCTTCAAAAGTCATCGAAGAGAATAATAGTCCAGGTGAACCAGACCAACGTAGAAAGCGGAGAGCAGCAACAAAAATTACATCTTTAAAAGAAGTTGGCCTTCGGGAGTAAGTGTGCTAAGGTCTGTTTGTATAACTACGGTATTCATCTTATTGTGCCACCAACTAGAGCACTGGGGGTGGAACAAGTGCATTAAACCGCGTCACAAAATTTTAATATTTAACTGATTTGTTTTCTTTCAGAATAAGGCTGCAGCTCATTTACTCTCCACCCAATATTTTTGATAATTATGTGGCTAAAAATTGGCTTGTGCTTAAAATTCAACTAATTGGTGGATAGAATTAGTATTACTGAAGTTGTCATTCAGGTATAAGTGGAGGTTTCAGAAAAATTGCCAAATTGCTGCAAAGGAGATTTTCTATACAAATACAGTGGTCCCTCAGTTAACAAACACTATTTGTTCCACAGAGTCGTTTGTTAACCGAATCCATTATTTCAATGGGATACAGGGTATTGGGTAATTGGTTCCAGCTCATAGAAAAGTACATACAAAGTACTGTATAAACCAAATACAGTAAAGTACACTTACTTTGAGGTGTGTATGTAGAATGTTGCTGGTTGATGATGATGATGATGATGATGGGAATTAGAAGTGGGGGTGGAGGAGAAATCGCCTTTCTTTGTACCCATGCTTGATGCAGTAATTTCACCAATAAAATTTTAAGTTCACTACCTGTAATTACAGATTATTTTATTTAAATCAACACTGCACTGCACTATATATTATCAAAATGTTAACTAAATTTCAGAATGACCAGCAATTTTAATGTAAAAACCTAAAAATACTCTGTATACAACAAACACGATGTTTCCTCCACTGTAAGCAAAGTTAAACTGACGCTTTGGCGGGTGAGTCAAGCGGCTGATGGGCGCACAAAAAGCTAGTTCCCTGTACTGCATATAGTATCAATATGTTAACTAAATTTTAAAATGAATAATAATTTGAATATAAAAAATGCAAAAATATTAAAGAGTACAACCTTCTTGATATTTACTCCACTGGAAACGAATGTAAACATAGAACCGATTACTGTATTGGCGGACTAGCCTATCAGCTGATGCACACAACAAAATGTGTTTGTTGTAAGGATTTTGTTAATCGAAGTTTTGTTCGTTAACCGAATTGAAGATCCTTATGGGAGCTAATGTGTTAATCTAACTGTTCGTTAACCGAGGGACCACTGTACTTCTTAATTTTAGTGGTTAAACACCTTTTAGTAAGTGACTTTTATGTAACGTTCATTTTGTCTATGACTCTGGGACCCAGGAGGCCCTCGGCACTATTAGGTGGGAGTAATTTTTATTTCTGGGGAAAAAACACAAAGGGTTATTGATCACAGAAACACTTAACACTTAATGCATGCTTTGTGCTCGTGACTGTAAGGGATGTCAATGGTAAATCATGAAAGAACAGCCAATTTAGTGAGTCAATATGACATTTTCAAATGGGGTGTTGGGGCAAATCTGGGTGCCCAAGTATGGAGTCTGAGGATGCAAAGAAATTTCGTTTTGGATAAGGTCAGCACTTTCATCTATCAAACATGTTAAACTGGAAACAATTGTTTTGAGAATAGTGTTACCTAATTGTTGAAAAGTGTAAAATGATAGACAGTAGTGTTGTGGTCATGCATGTTAACTGAGGAATACCTGAAGTGACTTTGTAAAAAAAAAATTCAGATTTGTTATTTCTTCTTTCGACAGAAAGTTACGACAAAGTGACGGCAGTGCTGTTATCGTGTATTCTTCAAGAAAGTCAAGAAGCAGATCTACTTACAAATAATGGTGAATGGTCCTAGACATTTTTAGTTTTCTTTTAAATGAACTGCTGTGAATAGGGAAAAAATATATTAAATTTAGGAATAGTACTTAGAGTTTGAAAGTAAAACCTTATGTAATATACCATGCAGTGAAAAAACTAATTATATAACACTGAAGTTTGGTTAATCTTTGTTGTATATCTGGTAAAAGACAACAAATTTCCTCCAGGTAAAATGCTCTTGGGGATTTTTCCATACTATCTTTGTTATTCAATAACCATCATTAAGATTTAGTTTTAGATGTCTTTAGGGCTATTTTGTAGAATTAATAGTCTTCAGATGTGAGCAACAAGGTTGAAATAAGAACCTAGGTATAGTTTCAGATATCTTCCACTGTTATTTTAATGTGACTCAATTGAACTTGAAGAGTAGATTGTGTGGTTCTTCAAGAAATGACTTTACTCGGATGAAAAATATATATATTGGGTAGAGGTTGATTCTCTCCATGCTTGTTTTAACCAAGAAAGCTAAAAATATTATTAATGTACTTTGTATTATTGCTGTGGAAACCTTTGCACTTTTATCCAAGGATCATCTTTTTTGTGTATATAATACATAAATGAAACACGAGGATGAGGAACTCCTAATTAATAATACTGTACATTTCACAATATTAAGTGAAAAATTAGCATTATATTTCTAGATAGTTTCACATAACCAATAAGATTCTGTCCTGTATGTAGAGATTAACTTATGTCTTGTCATATGGGATGTACAGGAAACAATGAATTCAGGATGTGTGATGACTGTGACTCTCATGTGTAATGTATATATTTATTGTCTATACTGTACTGTATTCATAACTTGAAGAACTTCTCTTATACAACTGTGTTTTCCTTCGAAACTTTTATGCAACTTTTTATCACTTCAAATTTTGGAAGATTTTCTTTGATGCATCTTTATTCTTACACTGCATGTGTCTCCTGCTATCATTTCTTTAGTGTATCAGTTTATTTTACTTCCTCAGTATGGCCTTTTTTTCTTTCTCATCTTTTAATTTTTTACTTTGCCAACCATTTACTTTGCAGTACAGTATTATAATACAGTACTCCCTTAAATCATTCCTCACCCTAAATGCTCCCAAACTCTATAACCCCAGATCAGAAAATTTATGTTGGGTGTTCCCAGATTATTAGTATTGTACTGTTTAGACATGTCTTTTATAATACATCTGTTTTAAGACAATTTGCATTGTCTGTCTCTATTAACAATTTCAGTTTTGTTTCAAATCTCTTATTTTGTCTCATGAGTCACCAGAGTCAATAATGGGGTGAGTCATGGTTTCCTACACTACTTGCCTCTTGCAACATTAAACAAGTTCTTTCCAGCTCACAACTTTGCACGTAGGGATGAAGGTACAGTGAACCCTTGAAGATTCGAACTAAAAGGAGGGAATGTACTGGATTTATTAAAAAAAACAATAAATAATGATATAAAAACACCAAAAATATGTACTGTACCTTGTTTTACAGCATATAAGATGCACTCCCATTATAGTTGGGAGTATTTAGGGGAAAAAAAAACTTTTGGGTGTATTTTCCTCCTGTAGCCATAGTTTTTTAAAATAATATACAGGGAGTCCCCGGGTTATAAATGGGTTCCGTTCCTGAGGACATTCACAAGTTGGATTTGTATGCAAGTCTGAACACGTGCTATTTGCTTACTGTATTTAAAAAACTTAAGTCCCACTATAACAGCCTAAATCCTTATATACATCTAAAATCACTTAATTTAAGATAAAAGAAGAAATACAATGACAAACTACAGTAAATAAGAGTAAAAAATAAGTCATCAGGTAAATAAAATACTGTAAATTTCAAGTTTAATCCCATTCGTATCAATGGGCGTTTGTCAGTCGGGGACCTGTTTACAGTACTCTACCAAGAAATGTGAGGAATAAATAAAAATGATAACAATAAATAAGTTACAACAAAAAATACTCCATTACCAACTCGGTAAATGAAAGCTTAACACAGACGGCGATGCCCCTCATCCCTTTACACTCTACGCTCTCCTCCCACTCCCTCACTGAGTCATCCAACTCTTGCAAAGATATGTACGGTATATTCCTTTTAGGTGTTTGCCCGAAGGGCAATTATTTCCCTTACTTTTTTCGCATTATGTATGTAGGCTGTACAGTGCCATGATTTATCACTATTAAGCACTATTATATCAGTAAACACTAATAATAACAGTCAATCCAGTGAAATATGGCAGGGAGTGAGGAGAGCTACAACAGCAGGCGATGCTCTAACTAGTGGTTGCTCACTCATTCCTGTTGCCAGGTGTATGATCGAAATACGCACGGGAGAAATACATATCTTGTAGTCTAATTTGAAAACGGTGACAGGCACAATGATAAACAAATTATATATACTACAGTATGCATTTACCTATGATAACATAATAAAAAACATTGTATCATTACTAGAGTGAATGAAATAATAGTCCCACAAATGACAATTGACAAATCTGATCATGTTCCCACCTCAGGCACCTGTGTCCCACGCGCTCACATCTTGGTTACACGGGCCTAAGATGATCTTTGCTCTGTTTTGGGAATGCTTCTTAGCCCCAACCCCCAAATTTTTTTCCGAATCTTCCAAAATCCGGATTTACCAGGTCCGTCTTCCAGGGTTCACTGTACTTAGTACAAATTATGCATTCTTAAATGATAATCAGATCAAAGATACAGTATTCAGCATATTGGGCATACAGTACTTTATGCAATTGCTATTCTTTTGAAATTGTAATTTGCTTATCTCAATGCTGTTTCTGAAACCTTTGCAGCCATTCTTTACTTTTACTCAAGTTAATATACATCACACACTTAATAATTTCAGACTCAATCAAATTTCCTATATACTTTCCCTAAATGTCATTACCGGTTTAAAAGTGAACAGAAATAGGGTAAAGACGATTAAAATTGTAGTAAAGTGTCTGCCATTTTATAAATTTATGATGTTTCCATATTGTTAGAAAGCCTGTGGCAAGTCGTGTCCTTTAAGGTAGAACAGAATGACTTTATGCAGATGACTGGAGATGTGCATAGTAGAGTACAGCACTACTGGATTAATGTGTTATAATTTTACTAGGTTTGTTTGGTTTTATCTTTTTATCATATAGCAGGAAGAGACTTGTGTGAATGTAAAACTACTACTTGAATCATACTGTGTGTGATACTGGGAATATGTTCACGTAATGTGTGATGGCATGGAATACCAAGAAGTTATGCTTTACAGGACATTTCATGATAAGAGAAGTTGGTATAAATTTTGGAGTAAGAAATAGAAGCTTAATTTCATTTCATTGTTGGGTGTACAGTCCTCTTTGTTTAAAATGGGAAAGTAACTAGGGTTAGAAGTATAGGACCAGAGTAGATTGGTACTTTCTGGAGCACTGAGGGAGAGTGGACTGAATTATATGGGAAAAGTGGAGTGACTTATGGAAAGGTAATTGTTTTGAAGTGATATGGTTAAATAGACAAGGAGATGATGAAGATATTTTGATTGGTGTAGGGGAGGCCAGAGTTTCCATGGAAGAGAAATCACCAAGAAACATGACATGAAAGTTACTAGATTGGATGAATATGGAACAGACCTATGATTCAGTACATAAGCATTTATTGAAGCATGAAACTTTATAATGAGTGAAGGTTCCATTATTAATTTGGGATTTTATTCATTGTTGATCAAGGCTATAAAAATGTACTGAACTCTTGATTACAGCAGCTAAAATCTATTGACTAATCATATAAGCTAAAAAAATGCAAGAAGTGATAATTGCATGGTACAGCTATATTTTTCATACATTAGAAATAATTTACCTAAATTAGATTTTAGGTAATGACTCTGGTCAACTAATTTTTTTCCACTCTTGTAAACCTTTTTTCACTTCTGAAAGTCTGTCAGATTAAAAAACAAGAAAATATTCCACTTTTACTCATTATTATTCATTCACTCTGGCTGATATGAAATCCATATACAGTACTGTAGAGCTATTCCTCTATTTGAAATTTTTTATCAAAAATTTTTAGTTAATGAAATTGACAAATCAGGGACCATTTTTCTATATATGCTTACAAAAACCCATTCAGGTAAAAAGAACCATTGGTATAGTGCATACCAGTATCCCAAAAGAGTCACTGACTGTTGCATAATGTCAGTTGTTCGCTGATGAATGCACGACATCATTCATTTTTTTGCTTATATTTTATGTCCATCCTCTCCATTTTGAGTTCCAGAGGAAAATCATCTTCAGGGAATATCTATGGAAAAAAAAAACATAAATTTGTCAAGCATGTGAAGGTTACACTCCAAAATAAAGTTGTATAAACTGAAATTAAATAAAATGAACAATTATTTGAATACCTGTATGAAAATAACAATGCATTCCACAGGCTATATATACTCTCTTGCCCCTGGTCGGTCCATTTCTGCCACAGTTGTATTTCATGGCACTCAAACATCAATTGTCTAATTAGATAATTGTGAAATAACAATATTAATTCATATGAAGATCTAAGGAATCTCACAAAAGAAAACACACTTATCACTAGGCATTATGTACTGTTTCCTCATAATCTTTTATGGATTTTTATTAAGAGGCAATCTATGTTGTAAAAAATGTTATTAAAAACAAACCCACCATACATTAAGAGATTTGAATCTATGCACTATTGGTAACGAGTGCTGTGGTGAGCGTAGACAGTTGTGAGCAGCTGCACAGTATATGTAAGGTTCACATTAATAATTTACTCACCAGCACATAAAGAAAATATTTCAGTGTTTATCCTTAAATGGTTCAATATTTTTATTATACTGAATTATTGTTTTATACAATTTGTGTACTGGCTATCGTTTTACCTTTATTATGACTGCATACTTTTTAAATGGAATTTTCATGTTTTTAGGTAAGGAGAAGAATTTGGTTTGGAAGACTGTCTAGCATGCTTCCCAAGTTTTCCCTTTAGATTAACGGGAAAAGGCCTTCCAATTTATGACATATATATATATATATATATAGAGAGAGAGAGAGAGAGAAAGAGAGAGAGAGAGAGAGAGAGAGAGAGAGAGAGAGAGAGAGAGAGAGAGAGAGAGAGAGAGAGAGAGAGAGAGAGAGAGAGAGAGAGAGAGAGAGAGAGAGAGAGAGAGAGAGAGAGAGAGAGAGAGAGAGAGAGAGAGAGAGAGAGAGAGAGAGAGAGAGAGAGAGAGAGAGAGAGAGAGAGAGAGAGAGAGAGAGAGAGAGAGAGAGAGAGAGAGAGAGAGAGAGAGAGAGAGAGAGAGAGAGAGAGAGAGAGAGAGAGAGAGAGAGAGAGAGAGAGAGAGAGAGAGAGAGAGAGAGAGAGAGAGAGAGAGAGGCAGAGAGAGAGAGAGAGAGAGAGAGAGAGAGAGAGAGAGAGAGAGAGAGAAAGAGAGAGAGAGAGAGAGAGAGAGATTTCTTTTCTTTTTTAAGAAACATCACTTTCTTTAAGAGGAATACAGTAACTGTAAATTCGAATGAATATTACTTTTTAAAATATAGTTTTAAAATACTGTACTCATTCTGCTTCACGATTCTTCTGTACTATAACTTACACATGGGTTAGAAAACTCCTCTATAGGCAATACTGTAAGTCCATGAGTTAACAGTCCAGGGTTCTCAGGACTTCTTACATGTGTGACAATGGATAAATTCCATAAATTAATCTGAAATATAGTTGGTCATTTCTGCCAAAACCCTACCCTCTTAAAAATGAGGGTCCTGGGAATCATAGGGTGCCACTTTGGCTGAAAGCTGAGCGCCTTTGCCACAATGCTAGCATGCATTTGTTTCACAATTCTCTTCAATTCCAATAACCTATTTGCTCTGAAATGACTTACATATGTATTTGGGCTGAGAAGTGCTTTCTCTGTATACTCTCAGGGGTTGACTGTTTGCTACCATAATTGTTCCTATCATCTGATTGGTTGCTTAGCACCTTGTCTGAACTTCATGTTGCATATCTCAGCACTTTGTTTATGCCAAATGCTGGAATTGGTCTAAGGCTACCAGGAGGATATTCTGGTTCCCTTGGAGGGAATAGTTTGGAATGGAATTTCAGGGAATTTCAATTTGGAAGTTCTTATTATCTTGCTTTAAGGCTTAATGGGATAGCAATTAATTATTTTGAGGGTTTCTTCAGGCTTGATTGTAGGATATAATGAAATCCTAAAGGGATTAAAGTTGTTTCTGTCTTATTTCCCACAAACCTTATCCAGGAGTGTCCAACATCCACTAGGGATGCTCCAGGCAATTATGCCAGGTGACACAAGTGACAGGTCCCTTCCTTCTCCATTGGGATGCTGGAACTAAATGGGAGGATTTACTTCTTTGCTGATGCCAAATAAGGATTAGAGAGTGCATGTTTGTTAGTGCAGTGGCAAAAATTCTTCTGTTTCAACCAGAGTGGCTACTGATGTCTCCCAGACTATATATATATATTTTTTTTTTTTTTAAGGGGCTATGGTTGTTTTCGGAAATATTGACTATGGGTGTACTTTGGGGATTAAGTCTGGAAATTAGTTTGTCATGCAAGTCAAGGGTTCTGAGAGTCCTGCAGACATGGTGCCTGTATCATATGTAACATGAGTTGCCTGAGCTGTGTGTGGTTTTAAAGTGGGATTTTAGGACCAATCTCATCTTTTTTGATAGGATAATTGAATCTGCCCAGTGCTTGTCCAGTTTTCATCATTTATACAAGTTGGACTATGCTAATCCGGGAAGCTTGGGACCAGACCGCTTCCGGATTTATGCAAAATGATACATAAAATGTACTATTACTGGTACCAATACAACTTACATCAGCATAAATCTGGCCCATGCTTACTGGACCTCTCTGATAAAGTGTACACAGTCGATGAACCCGCACCATATTCTGCGCACAAGGTCCAGACTGATGTACCATTGTCTAATTTCTTAGTATAGATATCTTTTCTAAAATAGTTAATGTCACTTGCTTATGTTTCACCACATTACAACCACTTCCTCTGCATATTGATCTCTTAGGCATATTTAGGGGTAAATTATAAGTATTTAAAGGTATAATAATGGCAGCAGCCACAAGAAGTAAGCTATGACAGATGCAAACTAACGACAGCCGGATTCAAACACCGTCCCGAACCATTGAAGCTACTGGAACTATTGGGTCCCGGATTGGTGGGGTCCAACCTGTACTTAAGAAATTGTACCTGTAGAATGGTGTCCATATTATTTTGTATAGTTTATTTCTGTAGTTGATCACATATTTGTATACGTTTTCTCCACAAGGTTTATTTTTGTCCATTAGGTACAAAATGCATCCCAGAAAAAAATTGGATCATTTAAAGCATATTTAGAGGTCAATCCAATGTCCTCTTTTTTTCCATTTAGTACGTAATAAGGATTTTTCGGGGCTAGATAAACACATTATAAACACATTGTATTTATTCAGCAAAATACAATTATAAGTTTTACAAATTACAAACTAAATAACTCTAGAACACCAATACACATTCTTTATTTGTATCCCTTCATCATAGCAGCTTTGCTTGCCGTTGGTAACTTCTTGCGATGAGCTGCAACAACCTGTAAAAGGTACTGCTTTTGGTCCTCATTTTGCGCTATAGACTCATTATAACGCTCTATGAGAGCAATTGCCCTCTCTTCGCTGTCATTCACCACCTTCATATTTATCGCACGATCTCTCATTGTGATAAACACTTCATCGTCTTTCCATGTTTTGGGATCCTTACTCAAGAACAGTTGTGCTCTTTCTTTGCCATCTAGTGTAAGAACATCAAAAATATCTAATGTACGCTCAGTAACAAATGAGGCCACATTACTGATAGGAGTTTCATCAGATAGGACAATACCCCTTGAAAAGTCCTGTTTCTTTGGGCACTGGAAGTTTTGTACCATATTCTTCTTGGTTTCAGTATCGATCCTGTCATCAAATAAGCTTAGACCGATAAGATGTTCTGATAGATACCAGAGATGTCGGCTAATTGCTGCTTGTGCTGCGTGTGCAACTTTCTCATGAGGATATTCCTTTAAAACCTTCATTAGCTGCAAATCATTGAATGGAGCTCGGACAGCCAATGGATTGACCTCTAAATGTTAATGAATATGGATAAAATTTTATAGACCTTATCTATGAACCAAATGGACAATTTTAAGGCTTGTGGAGGCAATATATTACTACATATATTTTTTACCATATAGTTTTGGACCACCCTAATATATATATATATATATATATATATATATATATATATATATATATATATATATATATATATATATATATATATATATATATATATATATATATATTTTTTTTTTTTTCCATATTCATGCAGAAAAGTATTTTGCTAATTCGATTATAATTTATTCCTTAAAGTATAGTCACCAATAATACTTACTCTTTAGATGTACAGGGAAGTTTTTTTGCTTCTTAAGTTGCATACAAACTCTGAAATACACTTTATTTATATTTGCCAATACTCTGCTGTACATTGCATGAAACTACATTATTACATGTATGTTCTATTCATGAGGATACAGTATTAAATTTATATTTAAATGTTGGAAAGGATCTTGTTGTTTTGGAGTTGTCATTGAGGATACAAAAAAATTTATTATTTTGAGATTGGTTTGTCTTCCAATCGCTCTGCAGGGAGGGAGGATGGTACTTCGGTGAAGAACTGTACACTACAATCTGAGGCGTCTAAAGTAGGAATGACGAACTCACCTTATCATAGTTTTGAGTAAACCCACGTCAAATTTTTAGAACTGTAAGATCACTCGGTGCCATGGAATATTGATAAAATTGCCTCAGTTATGTTCTATATTGATAATTTTTGTGTGTAGAAGGTGTGCATTATACAATGACAAGCCTGTTGTACCAAAAATTATTATAAATACCTGTAGTTTGTCCCTCCTACGCTAGATGCCTCATTTATTGTACTGTAATTGAACATATGAACTGTACTGTACCTTTTAGAACATTTTCATTATTCCATACAATATAGTACAGTAAAACATAATTGTAATGCTATTTAGTAGTGTTTTGTCATATACAGTATAAATACTACAAAAGTTATGTTGTACTTTGTTTGTACTTGTAAAATAGTCATAATTTAGTGTGAGTGAATCCTCCATATATCATTGTTGACCAATTGTCATTGTGTTTTATGGGTAAAGTTCATTCCAAAATAAAATAAATATGTTTCATTGCTGAGATTTTAGTTACCTGCTATTTAATCAGGGAGGTTGATGTTTTTAAAAGTGACTATTTCACTGGTTATTTCTTGAATCCAACAGTAAATTTCTTTCATAACAATGCACAAAGTTTCCCAGATAGGTATTGTACAGTATTTTGTCAAATGTATCTTTTCATTTTATGCATGTTCTTGTGTTAAGTGATTTAGTATCTTACCTTTGAATATGTATTCCTTTCTACTATACCAATTGCTCACATAGCCTACGAGATAAACAACTCCCTTGACAAAGTGTGTCATTTTCTTACAGCAATATAGAGACCCCTCTACTACAGTACTGTAATCTTTCATTTTGATTGAGAACAATGATTCCATTCATTGAATGTGCTAAAGCATTTAATGAATTCTTATATACTGTATTAAACCTCTATTAAC